CGACGGAGGGGAGGGGGAGTGTTGCTAGGGGGACGCGGAATTACCCGGGGCGGGGGAGGGGGTGCCAGAAGGTCGTGGACCCGACCCTGGGTGGGGGATTGCTGCTGGGGAGATGCGGAACTACCCCAGGGCGGCGCGATGGCCCGGGACCGCGCCGACCTTCCGCCGCTCACCTGCGCGTGGGCCACCACCAGGCTCTTGTTGCCTTCCCCGTGGTACCCCCATTCATTCTCGTCCATCTTCCCCTCGTCCATCCCCCGGTGCGGCCCTGGCGCCTCACGCGGCCGCGAGCTGGAAGCCGCCGGTCTGCCTGGGCAGCAGCCGCCGCCGTCGGGGGGAGGAGCGCCTGTCAGCCACGGCCTCCCCTCGACCCCGCGGCCCCGACTGCCAGGCTCTTAGTCGCCGGAAGCCACGCCCACGGTGGCTGCCATGGCCAAGCCGGGCAACTTCCGGGTTTACGCCCGCTTCCCCTCCATTGACCACTACGGTGGATAGGCAGGAGGCCATCTTGGGTGCTGGCACATGACTCACTTCCGGAGCGCGGATTTTAGAACAGGAAAGGAGGTTTCCGCCCCGAGCGCCGGAAGTGAGGCAAGCGGGAGGAGCCGGCGGCTCCTCGGCGCCCGGGACCGGCCTGGCCGGGAGTAGAGGTTCGGCCGCCTGGGAGATAGGGAAGACGCGGCCCAGCCGGCGGGCAGTGGGGTGTACGGGCGAGCTGGCAAGTGGGACGGGGGCGTCCACACAGGCCGGGGGCTATGGCGGTCGGGGGAGTGCGTGGTCCGTGGACCTTGGACCACCGAGATGTGGAAGCCCCAGTAAGGCACTTGGCGGCTCCGAGCCCCCGCTTCCTTTTCTGTAAAGTGGGATGTGACTCATCTCACACGAGTTATTAATATCACTGTTTGCTAGTTACCCGACGCAGAATCACCCCGCAGTCCCACGAGGTAGCGCTCTGTACACTGTACAAACGAGGAAGCGTGGCTCCGAGAGGCGAGTGGACTCCCAAGTGGTGCTTTTGCCAGAGGAGTGGGTTTCGTGGACCTTGAGCTCGAGGTTGGGGTTTGCAATCTGCCCCTGCCACGTAACGGTGGCGAGGCGGAGGGCAGGTCGCTCCCGGCCTTGGTGTTTCCATTAGGGAAGTGACACTAACGATACCATCTTCTAGAGCTGCAGTCACGGTTAAATTCGATCAGCGGTTCCCAAACTCTTAGTCTCAAGACCACCTTATTCTCTTTAAAAATGAGAGCCTCAAAAAGTTTGCTAGTGTGGGTTATATCTATCAATATTCACCGTATTATAAATGTGAAATTTAGAAGAATACTTTTCGTCTTAAAAATAAACATTCTTAAAAACCTGTATCTCCCAAAAATACAAAGGAGTGGGAATTGTTTTACATTTTTTTAAATCTCCTTAAAGTTTTAAAGATTCATAGAACATAGCTGGATTCTCACATCTGCTTCTGCATGCACTGTTGCAATATACTGCTTTGAAGTATATGAGGAAAATCCAGCCTCAGATACATGGTCCAACAAGGAAAGAGCTACAAACCAACCTCCGAACAGCTTCGAGCACCAGCAGACACCTGGCAAGGCCTTGGAAACTGATGAAATGAAGCCGGTGAGTCCGGAAAACAAGCTGATGGCTTTGAGGACTGGCCCAGGTGGAAAGCAGCTCCGAACCCTCCCCAGGGATGGTTGAAAAAGGGGGTAGAAATAGTCCACTCATCAGGGGTAAATAGTCCCCAGCGGGGAGGGGATGCCCACTCACAGAAGACCTTCCCACACCGTCATAAGGTCAGGGGACCCTAAACATGTTTGAGATTTTCTCAACATCTGTGACCAGAGTATTAGGATCATATTAAGTATTAAAACATTGCTTTAAGGAAACCTCTGTGGTGCTGAAAATGTTCTGTATCTTGGTGGTATTTTTTTTCAGGGAGCATTTTCTCACAGTGTTTAGAGTTACTAGCATATGGTGATGATGAAAAGATTAAACTTTGGTTTCGTGATTGTTTTTAAAGTCTCCACAGATGCACCGGTGGACCATGCCCACCCCATCCCCAACTTGGTACACCACTGGCTACAGGGAAAGAGAGAGGTGCTTTGAAAGAATTATGGGGGAGTAACAACGTGGAGAAGAGTGGACCCATCTGCAGTGGTTGGAGGAAAAGAAGAAACGGCTAGAAAAGACAGTAGCATTGGGAGAAGTACGTCTTCCTCTATTCAGCCCATGTGGTCTGCCTTTTTTTTTTTTTTAAATGTTGAGAGGGCCAGCGTCAGCGCACACAAGTGGGGGAGGGGCGGGGGGAGGAGGTGGCTGGAGGAAACAGAATCTGAAGCAGGCTCTAGGCTCTGAGCTGTCAGCACAGAGCCCGACACAGGGCTCCAATTTACAGACTGTGAGATCATGGTCTGCGGTGAAGTCGGTCGCTTCACCTACTGAGCCACCCAGACGCTCCTCATGCGGTCTGACTTAAATTAACATAATCCCTACTCTCGAGGCCTTCTAGTGACCTCAGCCTGTGCACAATCAAGAACTATCTTCTCAAGGAATCCCATCAACCCAGGGATTGGTTCAGGGGATGCAGAGACGATCCAGGTTCATGCAATGAAGCTCACTCACGTGGCTTGTGTGGAAGTGATCATGGGGAGAGTCACCCTCAGCTGGGTGGCAAAGAGGCCAGGAGGTCAGCATGTGCTGCCAGCAGCGATCCAGGCACCTCTGGTGACAGCAAAAGGAAACGGCTGGGCAGTAGCGAGGATGGAAACACCTGGTGAGCCGAAGGATCGCGTGCTTCTTGGTTGCTCTGAAGTTTCTGAGTAGTGAACTCCATCTTTTGCTAAAATAATTTGAGTTGCGCTCCTTTCACTCATAACCTGAAGAGCTCAAGCTAATAAGAGGGGGCACTGGGATGGACCAGTCACCTCAGGCAGTGTCGAAGTGAAGCAGAGCCCAAAGGGCCATTGTTAGCAGGGATTCCTGCACGGCGAGGACGGTGTGACTAGGAGCTTCCTACTCCATTTGGTCCCACCACGTCAGTCCGTGCCTTCTCCTTTTGTGTTTAAAAAGGAAAAGAGATGGGGCACCGGGGTGGCTCAGTCGGTTAAGCGTCTGACTGTTGGTTTTAGCTCAGATCATATCGTGGTTTGGGAGTTGGAGCCCCGCATCGGGCTCTGTGCTGACAGCTCAGAGCCTGGAGCCTGCTCCGGATTCTGTGTTTCCCTCTCTCTCTCTGCCCCTCCCCCACTCGTGCCAGGTCTCTCTTAAAAAATAAACATTAAGGGGCGCCTGGGTGGCGC